ACTTCTCATATATATATATATATATATATATATATATATATTGCATAATTTTTAAATCTACACACTTATAAAAGTTTCCTATCAAAATTGTAAATATGTATGTCTGACCAACAAAAAAAAAGTAAATGTGTATGAATATTATAGATTAATGTTCATGCTAAAACTGGTTAAATAATAATTTTAACAATTGTTTTCACACTGTCATTTACAACATACCAAATTATGTCTCTAATGAAGGTTTGAATTTTTTCCTAATAATTACATAATGAGGATTGATTAAGTTAATGTTGATATAATGAATTTGATTCTCAAATTAATTGGTGGTACATGGTTGACCAATATGATATTATTAAATTATTTAATTAAAAGTTCATTGTACCATATAGTTTAAAAAAAAAAAAGTTACTACCTCTAGTGCTTAACCTTTTATGCAACTTTTACTTCGGTAAATTGCTTAGATAAATATTCCTTTAATTAGTTTTACTGTCACTAATAACCTCTGGCACAAAATAACAAAAAGTTTTGTCACTAATTTTATTTAATGATAAATTATTCAACCAAAAAAGGAAAATAATGAATTATAAAGGGCTAGCTATGAAGTATTTAGCAACACGTTAACAATAAATTTTATAACTTAATTTCTATATAAAAGAAAAAATTGTTGCGTACGTTTTTTTTATATTAACTTTATTCTTGACCACAAAGAAAAATAAAATAATAGTCAATTTTGATAGATTCAATGTATCTAAGATTTATGCAACATAGACAAGTGAATGATTTTATGCCTTAAAAATTATGAAAATAAATCAATAAGACATTCTATATAAGACTTATCGTCATCTTTTACATAATATTATATTTTGTAACCAAAGAAAAAAAATTAGAACTTATATAGACTGATCGGAAGGAAAATAAAATTAAAATAGCTAACAATACAACCAAAATCATTGAAGGGAGAAATCTAACACTACTCAAAACAAAACTTAATTAATTCGAATCGATCAGTTAAACAAATATAGATTATAATTTGTGATTAACTAATTAGTTTCTACAGCAGTTCATAGTTTTATTTTTATCTATAAAGTTATTGTCAAGTATGTTTAGGAAGAGTAATAATTCATATTTTGCGAGATCATTTTTAAAATAGTGTTGATAGTTTGTGCCTAATTTAATTAACATTTTCAATGAAATTTGAGCACAGAACTAAACTCATTATTTAAGTAAAAGGATATATGGGAAAATTCATCATTCTTGATTTGGAAAGCTACCAAAAATAACTTTATATGAATTTCTCAATCATAAAACAAAGATACAGTCACTAATCACTAAAAGCAGCTATAAAACATTATATTATATTATATTATTAAATGGGAGAAGCATTGGAAACACCTAGAAGCGCAAATTATTAGTTTCATTTCCGAATTATTGACAACCTTAAAATCAACCTCTACTTGACTAACTAAACTTAGATACGCCTCATATATGTCATATAACATAGCAAGTATAGTCTCAAACTCTTGCGGGAACATTGGGTTCTTAATAGAAAGTCGAGATAAGTGTTGAAAATAACCCTAAACTTGGCGAGAAATTTAGGAATGTATTTCACTCATGTTACAAGATCAATGGTGCATATAAGTTTAATTAATCAAGTGAAAGAATATTTTGAAAACTGTCAATAATCCAAGTGTAAAGTTAATACTAATTCATATCAAATTTAAAGATGTTTTCAGTACTTCTCCGATTAAATAGAATGAATGAAGAGTTAAATTGTTGTCAATAAAAATCTTCCCATGTGATCATTGTGCTAACAATGTGTGGAAAATGATTGTAGCATTTCACTCAATATTCAATACTTACAAATTTGATAAATTTATATTTGTGTCAAAAAATATTTTATTGGGACAAATCATTAATGATTTGGTTCTCAAGGCTTTGAAGTCAAGACTTTTTAACTAGTAGCGACTTAGAGTATTCTTTTCGAGTTGCTTATGGGATAGATTGGGTGGATAATTATGTAAAACAATTTGACTTATCAGATTTATTAGGTGGATAATTACGTTTAACGGTATGATTTATTAGATATCGACTTTTAAATATACTAATCCGTTAGTTATCCAATAAAATATTGGTTGGTTCAGCGTCAGATTAGTAATTATCGGATGATTGTATATTTGTATTTGCTCAAACATAAGTGATCCCTTCTTTCACTTTCACTTTCACTTTCACTCCCATCAATATATTTAATTTCCCATCAAATAAAATATTTTTTTCAATACTACTTGAGCTAGTAATTCTGTAATTAAATCACAGTAAAAAATATATGAAAATTTAAATTTTGAGGATGCGTGCAGATAAGTATTTATTTA